GAACACACCTTTGATTCAGCGACGATTTGCCTGTAAAAAGCAAACGAAGAAGCTCATTACATTTATTTGGAATTGTGAATCAGTTCCTGAATAAAATTATAAAATGAAGTGTTTTCACTATAATATCTGCAAGTTTCAGACGATTTCAAGCTTTAAAAGTCAAGGCAATCGCCAAAACACAGTCCACAATTTCTTCCAAGTAAAGAAAGGATTGCTAAATATGCCTGACAAATGAAGAACAACTTTTCTGTGGTAATACTTTGAAAAGTATAGAAAAAGCCAAGTATATTGAAGAACAAAAGAGAAGAGGACGGGTGAAGGGATCAACAAAAACAAAAGCCATAACTAGGAATTGATAGGATCAGTCAAGAAACAAGAAGCTAGAAAGTCATAAGGAGTAGAAAGCATGAAAGAATACGATYTGAAGYAGAGGGGAACTAAATTTCACCATCTCACCTTTCATCTTTCTCATCCTACAACACACAACAGCGAGTATACCGGTCACCATCACCAAGACAACAGYAAGCACTGTAATGGCTATAACATAGTACTTGGAGGAAACTGGCTCCTTACATAAAGACTTGAATTTTGACGGGGTAGTTTTCGAACTCACTGAAACAAAAACAAGACAGTACAATTTTATTAGTTGTCAACTATGTACGTTTTTGCACGTCAATTTTGAGCATCTCAGGCCTGTATGAATTTTATATTAGTGCATATGGACTCCTCTATATCTCCAATACTCTTTGTTTGCATCCACGTTACGCCATTATAATGGCATCTCCATTTTAAAAAATGTTGACTGGATAGTTGACACTGGAGTTTTCGAATTCACTGAAACAAAAACAAGAGCAATTTTATGAACAAAAGTTGTCAGCTATGCACNAAGTGACTTTTTGTTTTCCAGAACATCCAGAATTTCCGCGTGAAATTAACACAGCGTAGTAAATCCCCTCAACTACTCCACTGTTTAAAAGTCTTCTTATGCCTAAAAAAGCAATTGAAACAGAGACTACGAAGGTGTATTTATTTGTCTAGAATTTGTTTCACGGGTYTATGCACATCACACTATACTTTAYAACAATGAAGCCTTTGTTTTCAGTTCGCATTGTCTTGATGTAGTCTARTAAACATGCAGTTTTAGCATTTTCGATGTCAGCAATTTCGATTCGGTACGTGGTTTCCTATTCTACAGAAAGTRAAATATTTTCTTCAGTTGAATGCTATGTCGCYGTTCTTTTGTCTCTGAAAAACACCTTAAAACTCTAAAATAGTTAGGTAATAGTTTAACACTACAAACCAAAGACTGAAAAGATCTWTATCAAATAAAAGTATTTAGGAAAATTAGTTATAATAATATTATGTAGTCATGAAAGTGTCAACTTTAATCTGAATGCGTTGCAAGCATCAAAATAATCCAGGCAAGCAAATTTTTTATCAAACCTTAAAAAAATTGTAATGATTATTTGCGTTATAAAAATATAAAACTAAGTTGAAAATGTCCAGGAATTCGAAGAATATATCATCAATGTATCATCACAAGCAAGTAAAAATCTCGCGAGTGGTGTGGAGTTTTGCTGACCAATGAGTAACTTGCATTTCCATTCGAGCAATAAACGCTGTAAAACGATCATCGTCCTTTTGACAGATAAGGTTGTCAAATCATTGATAAAGTCATCAAAACTATCAGATATCCAACTAATTTTAATCAATGGTAGCTTGCATCACCTCCCTAGAATTAAGTTGAAATGCCTCATGGGTATTCTTTCGTATGTCCCGTTCTACAACTGTACCAGATTTGCTCTCAATGTCTGATCAATTTTAAGTATGTATGCTGACGCCTACTTTCATCAAGGTCTGCGTATAATCCCGTCGGGGGTGGTGACGGATTGTCATCAGGGTTCAGGTATTCGAGCTGTACTTCATCATATGCAGACGTTGGGTCGTCATTGACTTCGGCGTAAGTGGCTGTTTCAGGTGTTTCGATATTATTTACTTGTGGTGATCTGATACAAATATTATAAATAATAATAATAATAATAATAAGTATAGTTTTCAACATGAGCGGCCGTGTTGTAAACGACTTATAAAACTCCAACACAAATTAACATGAATTACAGTGAGATAAAT